CATAGGATAGGATAGGATAGGATGGGATGGGACGGGACGGGACGGGACGGGACGGGACGGGACGGGACGGGACGGGACGGGACGGGACAGGACAGGACAGGATAGGATAGGATAGGATAGGACAGGATAGGATAGGATAGGATGGGATGGGATTGGACAAGATTGGATAGGGTAAGATAGGACATGGGGGGAAAGGAAATGAGAGGAAAGGATGAACATTATTTGTATATTAGCCCAAATATAAATGTATTACTACAGTATAAAGAGAATAGTTTCAGTGTACACAGACTATGTTCTGTTATTACCTTCTTGTCCCTATGTTTTGATAACATTGACTTGCATAAAATACTTATTCCACTTTAACTGTTTTACAATTTGCCTTGATCAAACAACCATCTTAAGTAATATCCTTTTTTTTTTTTTTACAACTAGTTATTTAAAACTGTGGTCTTCATTTAAATACACTTCCTTTACTCTGATAAACTGCAATCTGATTGCAGCTACATTAAATCCAAATTTTAGACTAGAATTTCACATAATCTTGAACACACCATCAGCACTGTGAAAGTTGGCCATTGTAAATATTACTGTGAAGGTATTTTTACCTTGATAAAAAGATGGGTTAAACCTCTCAAAAATGCTTGAAGATGGGGGAGAGGTTTACTTTTCAGCAGGAAAGAAGTCCTAAAAAAATACCCCCTAAACAAAGTTATATGCTCCAGTGTCCTAGTCAAAGCCCAGACCTAAAATAAACTAAAAAATAAATAAATAAAAGAACATGCTCCAAGGCTTCAAGAACTATGTTCCAATTTTACTGATCTTAAGCTCTTGTGCAAAGAAGAATACACAAAGGTTTTTAAAGATAATTGTTTCTACACGTGGAACGCTGGTAGTCAAAGCCCATAAGACTAGCAGCTGGATTACATTCCAAGACAGGTCTACATATTATCAACTTGGCTCTTTTTTGATATGTAAAATAATGTAAAATGAATTAAAAAAAGAATGTAACAGAACATTTTTTTACAGAGGCAAATAAAACCAAATTTTCTTTTCTTGAATTGCTTTATGATAAATTCTTCCTCTTTTTTTATGTCAGTGTAGCGTTCAGTCCAGACTGTTAGGGCTCCAGGTGATTAAACACGTTAGCATCAGATTTTCCCACATCTTTTCCTTCAACCTTTAAATGCCTGAATCCACATGCTGTACCCACATGTAATCAGTCCCTCTTCTGCCCATATAAAAAAAACACATGTTTTCAACAAAGATTTTACACATCCATAACCACACATTGTTTATAGAAATAGAGGAAATACTTTCAGGAAAGAAAAGGGCATTTTTGGACATGTTGAATTTTACTTTGGTTAGCTTGAAAGCCAGGTTGAAAAACAGTCAAAGTGAGCTCTGTCCTGACAAAAAGCCTCACATTTCCCTGTTGAGTTTCCCAGTCTCAGACCCTTTGGGTTTGGAATATTTCACAAACCAAACATGTTTGAAATGTTTATGTTCCCAGTCCATTGGAGTTCATCTAATAAATCTAGCAACTGTGTGAAAATATTCTGAACCCCTTTACGTCATGATAAACACTTTATGCAACTGCGACTTGATTTTTTGTTATAGTCTTTGTAAGAACAGATTATTTATTGATGTCAGATTTGATTGGACAATGAGCGGCATTTAACCACCCTGACTCATATTAAGCAGTGCACATTTAAATTGTAATACTACTCCCACTTCATTTTACAAAGGGAACAATGAATTTGTTGCCAAAATATGGTATTTTGTTTTCTAGAGTTCTAATTTAAAAGAAATCTGTATTTTGTTGTAATCTTTTGTCAAACGTTCTGATAAAAAGCACTGATATCTAAACCTTACCGACTGATAAACAAATGTTCTTACTGTATGTGTTAATTCTGAAACTCCACATTTTTTGAATGAATCAGGTAATCATCAAACAAAAGAGTCTTATTTTGTAATTTACAATGTTTAAATGATGATAATTTTTTTATACATTAATACTGTCAAAATATCAATAATTCATTCAGTATCTGTTGACATTTATACTCTTTACAAACATTGGCTTCATATAGAATATGAAGTATCAACTTAAGCTTTTTACTGAAGTAAAAGCATGAAAATACCGGTTTCAGAATCAGTATTTTCGGTATCATGCAATGATGTCAAGGTGAATAAAATTTGGGTGTTATTTTGTTGTATGGAATGCTTGTAAGATATTAAATAATGTTAGACTCATAACTTAGCATGTCTCAGCTTTCCCATCTTCATCTCAGTACGCGTTATATTAAAACCACGGTTTGTTGAATGAGAAGTGTTCTTCTCAAACCTTTAAAAAAGAAAAGAAAACTATAACTACACATATATGTATAAAATGACAAAATGCTTTTCTTTTGAAGTATTTCTAATTTGGCTACAGTTTTTGGATTTGAATTCTCGAATTGACAACCATCTCACATTACTTACCTCTAATCCAACATCTGTTAGATTTATGTTTCTTCTGGACCACACAATCTCAGCACAGTTGGTTCAAAAGTCTCCATCACTTTATAACAATTTTCTTTTTTTTTTTACAAGTTTAAATACAGGCTAAAACCCAAAATGACCTTCCTACGTTTTTTGAGACGTACACTATATTTAAAGCATGTTATTTCATTTTTGGGGGAAGCCACTACCAGGTTTTATGTTAACATGACATCACTGTCATTAGATGCACTGGCATCAGGGCGTTCAGATGAGCTTCTGCCCTTACTGTTGCTTTGAAATGCCTGAATTAGCAAATGTCATAGTTCAGACCCCAAAAACCTCTGGTAAAGTTAAGTGGCTCTCTTTTACTTTTAAATTTGGAGTGGGTAAACCAGCATTTAATAAAACACAAAATGCACAATGACCTCATGGTTCGGGTTTTTCTGAGATTAAATATACAGACGTTTGCCTCACTCAGTATATTGAAACTCATGAATCGTTTGAATAAGGTTCTGTCCTCATCTAAACTTTAAACACTGAGTAGAAGAAAAATAATTTTTGTCAATCCCAAGATTTAGGGTTCTGGTCCAGTGAAGCACAAATACAAACATCTCTAGTTTCAGTGAGCTGTTCCACATTCAGTAGCTTATTCCAAAGACATAAGCTCTAGAAAATAAATACACTAACACTAAAGACCAATGGATCCAACTCCTGTCAGTAAAGGTAGTTAAAAGTCTGCTAAAGTCACTTTAGAGGGGATAATTGTCTTCCTTTTGACTATTTATGCTGTGTTAGTTTAGTTATTTTCTTGTTGGCGGTTGGTGGTATTCCATGGTGGTACATGCAGATGAGTCCAAACTCATAAATCAGCAATTACATTTTTAGGGTGTATTGTTAGATATGCTTAATATTTATGTATTTAATTAGTACTAAGTAAATTTGTGGAAAATCATGGTATGAAACATACAATGCTTAGTCCAGTTGTGGAGGTGCAGACACTTACTTATGCAGAAGTGTTACACACAGAGGTAGCACTGTGGGAGGATGGCAAGGAAGGAAAGGGGTGTTTGAGGGTGGCATAAACAAAGTAGTGTGATTGCATGTAAAATTAATTGAGATTTTTCAAATGTTTCTTAGATCCAACAGCACCACTGATTGAACCATTAGTTTTACAGTAAAATAATAAACATGTAATTGAAAACCATGCATAAGACATTTTTTAATCAAGACAGACAAATCCAGTGTTGATTAAAATATTTTCAAGTTGTAACACATTTTACATTTAGGCCTGTAAGATATTTCATACATCATTTATGTGCACTAGGTGCCTAATATGTGCCAAAAAAGCTTACTAAAGAAGAAGAAAAAAACAAATATGCATTTTTTTCTTGCAGCAATGAGCGTTGGACTCATATGGAGGGCCCTGTGCCTGCTGTCCATACTTTGCACTTTGTCACGCAATGTGCACTGCACAGAGAACCAGCCAGATCTCTCAGGCACAGAACGGGGACTCACCTTCAGCCACGTCTACAAGATTGACATCCCAGGAAGCTCCAGTTGCACCGTAGAGCGTCTGCCAGTCCAAGAGACAGGTCAGACAGAGAAGACAAACATTAAAGGATAAGCAGGGGGAGCAAGAAATGAGTATACCGTAGATAGACACCAGAGAGTAATATATAAAAGGAATTTCTTTGTTTAAGGTAGAAAGATTATTTTTTTTTATTAGCAGCAGAACCTGTTAACTGAAAGAGTTTATTTTTTGTAGGTCTGCAACAAGATACCACATCCAATGGAGAGAATGACATAATCTTCAAACACAATATTAGGCTGCAAACATCCAAGTGTAACTGTGAGGAGTCAGAAAGCTTCAAGGAGCTGTTGTACAGAGTCAATGGACTGGAAGAAGAAGTTAACTACCTAAAGACCCAGTGCACTCAGGGATGCTGTGGAAGAGGAGGTGCTGCAGGTAAGCTGTCAAAACCAATGCATTTAAGCACCTGAAATCGACAGTAAGCTATTACACCCAAAGTCAATGGTTACTTGAGTTCAACAGGGAAAAAGATGGAGAATAACCTCTCACTAAAATGTTCAGCCTGGGCAATCTAAATGATGATTCAAAGCTAGTCAGTTTTTCCTCATGTTTTTCTTTTAAGGTGTAGACACAAGCTGCAGTGATCATGGTACCTACCAACACGACACCTGCAGCTGCCTATGTAACCCAGGATGGGAAGGTCCTGATTGCTCTGTGTCGTCCTGCCCTGACGAGTGCAGCGACAACGGCCGATGTGTAGATGGGAGATGTGTGTGTTATGAAGGCTACACAGGAGAAGACTGCAGCCAGCTGACGTGTCCAGGCGACTGTAATGATAAGGGGCAGTGTGTGGATGGAAAATGTGTCTGTTTCCCTCATTTTACGGGTGAGGACTGCAGCATCCCAAAGTGCCCTAATGACTGTGAGGGCAATGGGCAGTGTGTGGATGGCCAGTGTGTCTGTGACGATGGCTTCTATGGAGAGGACTGTTCTACAGGTAAGGCATTTCAAGTCGTACAAATAAATGTATTCAATTTTAAAAGTTTGAATTATATTTCTATGAACAGTTGGTCTGCTTCCTTTTACTTACCTTTCTTTGCCAATACACCATAAGTTATCAACACTTTGGCCCATCATTCATCAGACAGCATCAGATTTTAAAAGAATAAGGCCTGATGTACCAACATTGAAGGAATGTTAAAATGTCCATTTGTGTGGTTGATTTCTATTCATTACACAGCAGTTCAAATCATGTAGTTCCTTATAGTAATGGCAAAGGTTTCAGTCTGCACCAATCCAAACAGAACAAACAGTATGTAATGTGCTACAGTCTACTCTACCTGACCACTTTCTAAAATTCGTTTTAGACATTTTTTCATTTAGCTCATACCCTAAGAACACTGAAGACCTTGTAGTGTTGTTTTTTCCTATATATGATGTTCCATCAATGTGAATTTTACAGGACAACCTAAAGGTGCAAAATATAGATCTGACCAGATATAGACAGCCATGTCTTGCTCCTGCAACCGAAGTGTTCACTCTATTGTCCCCTTAACAGCAAAGCCTTTGGCATAAGAGCCTCCGTACCCACCCACTAGGTTGCAATAGAAATCTCTGCAGACACGTGATCCAGATTTTTGTGACAGCTTTGGCTTAACATGTTGACAATGTCAAGAATATAGTAGTCCTAGTCAGAAAGTGATGCCGACCAAAACTCAGATAAAAATAGCAAATGGTTTTATCATAAGCAGAAGAAAAACAACAGCAAAGATGGTTTTCAATAAATGCTGTGAGAAAGATGGGCTGTTTTCCCAGAGTGGATAATTTATCTCTGTGACAAGGATACAAAACTACTCTGAATATACAATTAAAAATCACTTTATCCTTTTTTTTACTCCTTTTTTTTTTTTTTTTTTACTTTTTTCCTTCCTCTTTTGAGTAGACTATGAGTAAACCAGCACATCATTGCCCCCTGAGGGGCTATATGAAATCTGTAATTCTCTGTATGGAAAAAGGATGTGCACCTCAGCAATAAATACAATAAATAGGTGCACAGTCTTATCTGTAGGGACCAAGCTGCTCACATACACAGATATGGAGAGGTTTGTTAAGCCTTAGCACTCCCCCCATTGACACTTCCTCCAGTATAAAGCACAGGGTACATGATACAGCAAAAAATACAGTCTCTGTCACTGTAACTGTCATTGTAATGAATGGAAACCCCAAAGATTCTAAGATATCAACCAACATGACACACACACAGTTAGGGATATTTATATATATTTAAATATGTGTGCAAACAAATTGACTTTTAAACAAAAAGTAAAAAGTTTCCTACAGTTTCCTTAAATAAAAAAAGACAAGACAAATGCTGTCCAGACTGAAAGAGGATAATTTAAATGCACCAAGAAAAGGGCCTTTTTGGCAGTGATGTCAAATAATGAATAAATGCCAGATGGCTTCGAAAGAGTACTTCCTCAGTCTGACTGGTTTACCATTAACAATGCACCAGACAGCCACTTTTTTTTTTCATGATTGCTTTGCACTGGGGACTATTGTGGATTTATTTAATACTATAATCTTTAGCGTTGAAAACAAAACCACTGGTGAAGAATTAGTTGTTTTTAGTCTGCACTAACAAATGATTGTCTCTTTCCTGGCAGAAAATGACATTTATTTTCTATGTGTAAACTGGCATTTCTTATAAAAATGTACACGAGTAGAGTAAAATGTGTCTGTCTGTCTGGGTCTGTCCGTCTCTTACTATCTAGCTTTCAAAAGGTGAATTTTTCCACTTTTTATCATTTTACACTCATTTTTAGAAACTCAAATTCAATACAAAAATACTTAATATTTCCTAAATGGAAATTAAATTATACTATAAATATAGATAACTATAATATAGATACATACAAAATACTGAAAGGTGAGGTGTGCAAAAGAATTCAGCCCCCATTTTGTCTAATTGTAACCAATTAACTTCAGAAGTTGTCTAATGGTTCCTAATGATTAGAGTCCAGTGCTGGCTGCTGCTCTCTAAAACAGGGGAGGCTCAGAGTTGTTAAATTAAACCCAAACGTCACGTATTGCATTTACAAATGTGGAAACACATAAAACACATTATTCCAACAGGTGAAAATAGCTGTTGTGATGCGCTCTGAAAAGATAAACTCCAGAAACCACAGCAAGAGTTCAGCACAAGATGACTGTTCTGACTGAATGATCAATTTTCCCCCTCGGCTCAGGAGGAAAACTTCCTTACTATTTTGCCGCTGTCAGTCAAAAATCCTTAAGCACTCAGAGGAGGGGAAAATCTGAAATGAGACTTCCAAAATGTTTCAAGTACTTCTATTAGACAACTTTGAGATATGGGTGAATAAGGTTTATTTCTTCTGTTTCTCCATTCTTTCTCTGGACCAAAAAGATGTACTAAAGTTTTCATTTAGTCTTCTTTCAAGTTTCAGAAAAGAGCTTAACAAGCTGAAATATAATTCTCAGACTTCCTCAGCTTTAATGTCTCCTTGTGATCCCAAGCAGAGAAACCAGAGAGCTCACTTAAGTCTGCTCTCATCGCAGATTTAATATCTTTGATAAAAATATTTTTTTTGGAATGCATCAAAAAAAAACATTTGTAGAATTGACTCGACATTAAATATCTTTATGAGACTCTGAAACACAAATTGAAGAATTAGATGTTACTGTAAAACAAAGGTCAAGAGGCAAAAAACCCATGGTCCAGATGGTTTGACTTCCACTGTACATATGTTTTTTTCTGGAAAGACTTAAAATAAATATCATATAAAGTCTTAAAAGAATGTATAGAAAAAGATTATTTAATGCCAACCATGAAACACGGATTCATTAGATTAGTCACCAAACCAGGAAGTGATAAAAGACATATCAACATTCCGAGGCAAATAACTTTAATGAATGTAAATAACATATTATTCAACCCCCTTTTTTTTTTAAATTGATTTAAAAGTGATTTGTAACAGACAGTGTGTGAAACCCGAACCAGGATTTATTAAGGATTAATCCATAGGAAACAATCTTAGGTTGGCTCTTGACCTTATAGACTGCTCCATAGATCTCCTAAGAGGTTTAGCCTCACTGGAAGTGACGTATTTTGTTATCCAATCAGGGCTCTACTTTCTCGCTACTTACTTCAATAGACTAAAGCTCAAACCTCAACAGGGATTTCTCCAAGATACTCACTTGCAGCGGCCTGCTGCTCCACAGCGGAGGGAAGGTTGTTTTCAAAAACAATCTCAATAGCTGATTTTTGTGCAAATTCCTAATGAAATCAGGTGCATTTTAGCCTATATTTGATATAGTTTAATTACTACATTTATAAAGTTTGACAAATTCATATTTTACCAATAATTTAACCAAATTTACAGGAGAGGTTTAGCCTCCCTTGTATTCAGTGGGAAACCACTGCTAGAGTCTACCTGTGTGGAATCAAAAGCATAATTAGTTTTGTAAGCCACTGTATATAAATCTGTGTTTGTTTTTCCATTTATTCTAATATAATGATCCAACTTTTCTAGTACAATATTCCAGAAATAAGATTTCGCTTCAATATTGTTTTTAGCACAATTTAACTGCAATATCCTGAAAACAAGTGTATCTAATGCGTGGTGAGTGGGATTCCCACTGCCTGACTTAAACCATTTTGTGATGGATGGGTTAAGAAAACCATTTAGCCCAGAGTTATTGCTCCAACAAAACTGCCCAGAGGAAATGGGAAATCATTTCAAAGCAACATCACTCTGAAGCTAAACAGATGGGTTCTTATGCAGTCTAAAAAAGTGAGAGGCAAAAGTATTAAAAAAAGATTTTTATTATATTCCAAGTCTGAATATGTGTTTCATGTTAAAATATGTTCCTAATTTTTCGTTGAAAGAACTTTATCGTTCTTTCGATCAATATTTAGAAATTTTTGATCATTAGCCACGTAACAACTTTTATGTCAGGTAAACTCACTAATTATTAAAGTTTAGTAGTAGATGTGTTGATGAAAAGCAAAAGTTTTATCCTTTTTTTAACAGTTTTATCTTTTATTTAAAAATTAGTGAAAAAAACAAAAACAAATGGTTCATCATTGTAATGATCTTCTTTAGCAGCGGTCAACCACAGGCTGAAATTAAACATGCAAAATCAACAATTCATCTGTTTATTTTCCCAAAAGTTCTTCCACTTATTTCACAGAAGATAAAAATAAAAGGCTAAAATCCCTGCAGGATAGGACTACCTAATGCCTCAGGCAAGGGCCATGTAAAACACACCAACAAAACTGTACGAATCCTGAGAAAATATGCTTGAGGTCTTTTGCTTCCTATCCAGAGAAAAAGAAGAAACTTTAACTGGATAGAAAGTAGCTGCTAATAACAAACATGATGCATCATTTCACAAAAAAATTAAACAGATCGCTCTTTGGATTCATCCAGGATGATCTAAGGATAGAATTTCATGGAGTCAATGAATAGAGAAAAGTTTGGCAAAGATCATCTGAAACACTTTCAATAAAGATGTTTTGCTTTTCTTCATCAAACACATTCCACAGCCATAGATTTAAAAAGTGACTATTGATATTAGGGAATTAATACGAAGATCAAGCTCTGAACCTGTGAAAATGTGTTTTATAAATAACGACATGCAATCATGGTTCAAAGAAGGTATACTCTACACCGAAAAAAAATAATGCATACCGTTTTTGACATTTACTTATAAACTAATATTTAGTTACTTTAACACAATTGTTTCATGTTAGCAGGGTAGGACATAAAACAATTGTGTTAAAGTAACTATATATGATTAAGTAAATGTCAAATGTGGTAGCATTATTCTTTTCAGTGTATCACATACAAACCACTTTAAATTGGATTCAAAACGTTTTTAGTTTAATTGTAGAGGTATACACCTCACATTACCAGGGAACATGATTTGTTAATTTTACAAAGATTAAAATAAATCAAACAACATGTAGAAAAGCTA